GGGGAGCCGAAGCCGCTGAAGCTGATTGTCAAGGCTATCCCGTTGCCGGACAAGAAGGCCAAGACGGTGTTGCAGGGATTGCAGGACCTCTACATCCAGTTGAAGAGAGAGGGGTATCCGGTCCAGAGGTTGCATACGGACCGGGGCAAGGAGTTCCTGAACCACGACCTGAAGACCTGGTGCATGGTAAGGGAGATCGAGAAGACCACCACTAGTGGAGATGCACCGCAAGAGAACGGTCGTGCGGAGGCATGCATCAATAGCCTCAAGAGCAGGATCCGGCGATTGCTGAAGGGCGCCAACCTGGATGTCAAGTTTTGGCCAATGGCGGCGCGCTATGCGATCGTGGCGGAGGAGAAGCGGATGAAGAATGAGATGATGCCGGCAGCATTTGGGGAGGAGGTATGGGTCCCAAAAAGGTCGTGGAAACGGCTGCGGGATCCGTTTGGTCCTACCTACGAGAAGGCGCGCTACCTGGCGGTGGTCAAGGAGGTCACGAGCGGACACGGTGTCCTCCGTGAAGATGGAAAGATAGAGGTGGTCTCTCGAATTGTGAAAGGGGTGGTGGAACCAGAAGATCGTCTACTACCGGAGGAGGGAGAGCCGCATCAGCCACGGAGGAGGATCAGAGGAAAGACCAACGCAGGCGAAGAGAAAAAGACCGAATTGGGCGCCCTCTTGATGTTGCGGGCAACCTTGGAGGACGAGAAGGAGGCCATGGATCAAGATGTCGGTGAGGCATTGGGGATCACGGCAGCCAAGATCCAGGAGATGAAGGCGATGGAAGAGGCTCTGATAGAAGAGATCATGGGCCCGGAGGAGAAGCAGGTGTTGCAGACCCGGATCGCCAGTCAAGCGGAAGTTCTGAGGAACAAGGAGGAATGGCTTCCGGCCATCAAGGCAGAGGTGGAGTCGTTGTTGGAGGGCAAGGAGGCGGTCAGACGAGTTACCAACGAGGAGGCGAGGAGGTTGATGATGGATCCCAACTATAAGGTGGACGTCATGCCGGGCAAGATGGTGCCGACCATCAAGGCACCTACTGGAAAGAAGAAGTGCCGCATCGTGATTTGCGGGAACTATGCCGAGTCGGGTGGCAAGGATTCGGATGAGTCCCTTTATGCGGGAGGTTCAGACGCGATCTCCATACGGACCATCACCAAATACGCAGCGGAGAATGACTGGGAGGGCATGGTCCTGGACATCAAGACTGCATTCCTGAATGCCCCCCTCCAGGAGAAGACGGGAAAAGGAGAGCCGGAGAAGGTGTTGTTGATGAAGCCCCCAGCCATCCTGGTATCTCTCGGGCTATGCAGGAGAGATGATTACTGGGCAGTCACAAAGGCCCTGTATGGTTTGCGCCAGTCACCAAGAAGATGGTCAGTCTTCCGGGACCAGAACATGAGAACTATGGAGTGGAAGAGAGGATCCGACCTCTTCTGGCTGGAGCAAACGGTGTCAGACCCGAACGTCTGGAAGATCCTGAAGGGCAAGGGGAGAGATGATGAACGCGGAGAGCTGACGGGCCTGATGGCGATCTATGTGGACGACATCTTGGCGTACACGGACAAGCTCACGCAGCAGGAGCTCTACAAGGTGATCCGGGAGAAGTGGGAGACCAGCGAGCCAGAGTTCGTCACTTTGGGGGCCAAGGTGAGATTCTGCGGCATGGAGATCAGCCGCACGGAAAGAGGCTACCATCTCGGGCAAGCGGCGTACACGCAGGAGCTCCTGAACCGATATGGAGATGGTGGTTATGGGTCGGTCATTCCGATCAGCAAAGATATGACGGAAATGCCGGAGGAGGAAAACATCACGGCGGCGGAGGTGCAGGCTGCGCAGAAGGCGGTGGGAGAGGTCTTGTGGCTTACCACCAAGACGCGACCGGACCTCATGTTCGTGACGAGCCGGATGTCCTCGGCAGTGACAAAAGCGCCGAGGTGGACTGTGGAGTTGGGGAAGCAGGTGAGAAAATACCTGCACAAGACTGTGGACATGGGCCTGTGGTTTGAGAGAAATGTGGGCGAGGGCATCACTGGTCTGAATGAAAGGAGACTGGAGGTGTACACCGATGCCTCGTTTGCGCCAGGAGGAGGACTGAGCCATGGGTCGGTGGCGGTATTATGGAACGGAGCAGTGTTGGCCTGGAGGAGCTCGAGGCAGAGTTCACCCACGTTGTCGACAGGGGAGGCGGAGCTCATGGAGTGCCTGGAGGGGATCATCATGGGTGAAAGCGTGGAGGCCCTTGTGATGGAGATTGAGGAGGTCACGGGTGGCAACTACAGAAGGCAGCTCCTGTCGGACAGCTCGGCAGCGATAGCCATTACGCAAGAGGCTAGTGGAAGCTGGAGAACTCGGCACCTCAGAGTTCGGGCCTACAACTTGCGGTGGAGATTGATAGAGGAGAGTTGGTCGATTCACCATGTGTCGGGAGAGGTGATGCTGGCGGACTTGGGCACGAAGGCACTCACGGGCAAACGCATCGAGGACCTTCGCAAATTGTGGAAGC